TGCAAGCCTTTGCGAACCTTGGTCGCGCTTTCAAATTTTCTTTAAGGTACCTCCCACAGAAATAAAAACCAATTGAAAGCGTGCCCTAGATTCGAAAGACGCTTCGCGAACGCACGCAGCGGAACAGCGGAATGTCGTTCCGTGAAATTTCAAGTCGTGGCACACAGACTATAGCGCGCGTTTACTGGCCAACTTTTTTGACGTCCACTCTGTTTTGTACGATCATTACTGATTTTTTTCCAAGACAAAAAGTGCTGCATTGAATTTTTTATTACAAATTTCTGTTTATGGCCGATTTGAAACGTATATTTGCCTTTTTGAAACTACTTGAAAAAAATCAAATGAGATTCACATTTTTTTAAATTCATTTTTTTGGAAGAAATTAAGCGGAATAGCCGTCTCAAAAACACTTTCCCACAGCTTCGGGCTTTAAAATGAGGAATCTTGCTTCCAAAAAAATTAAAGTAGCACACTTCAAAGTTTAAAAAAATGAAATTTTCAAGAATCGAGGGAATTTTTGGTTTTTTGACGGTTTTCCAGTCCGGAAGTTTTTTTTTTTCGAACCAAATGAACATTTCGTCTACAATATAGTTTTTTTAATACAGTTTGAGGACATGTTTTTATAGAAAAAAAGGAATTTCATTCAAAAAAATGACTTTGAAAAAAAGGAAAAATAAAGTTTGGAAAAAAATCTGAAAAAAAAGACTAAATTTTTTTCGTCAATTCAAAAAAATAGAGCACAAAAAAATGTAGTTTGAGCTCTTCAGTAGCAAAAAAAAAGCCCAGTGAATACACCAGGAAGCGGAAAAATCTAAAAGAAGAATCGAGATTAAGCCAACTTTTCCGGATGATCCCCCCTGCAGTTTGAATCAAATGACGTTGGGAAAAAGCAGATAGATTTGTTTTTTAGCCCTCGGATTTTAGTTGAGACAAAATCCATGTACCAACCGGAAGTGGGCGGATGACGCCGTCAAACGACAGGTGTTCATGTGAAGGTGGCACCAAGGATCTTTCCCGTGTTCGATCTTCAGTGAACTTTGCAACGAGAAAAATGGATGTTGCAAAGGATTTTTGGTGGAGATGATGGGAATTTTTTTAGAATTTCGAAAATACTTTTCGAGGTCTTTTTCATCTCAAAACTTGAAATTGAAAGAAAAATTCAATTTCTCCTGTATACTCCGATCGTTATGATTTGAAACTGTGTGACCTGTCTGGGCCCTCTTTTTTCTCACTATATCATAAAGAAGAGAAATAGCGCTTGATTAGAGAAAAGGAACTTCTTGAAATTGTAGACAGTGGAGTATACTGTATAAAGTTACAGAAGGTAAATATTTGAGAGAAGTTTAAGTGGTCACTCAAGGGATTTTCGAGAGGTCTCCCAAGCTTTTCACCTTTCTAAAAGCTACCCAAGGCTACTGTAGATTAGGTTGAAGTGGTCACTAAAGGGCCTTTTTGAAAGAAGTCTCCTACGATTTTTTTCTCTGAAAAGGTTGGCTGAGAAATATTCAAGTGGTCATTCAAGGGTTTTGCGAAAAGATATTCGAACTTTCTCGTGAAAATAGAATTCTCCCAAGAGCCCCTCAATCAAGCTCGATTTTCAAAAAAAAAACAAGCAGCTGTCCTAGTAAACAGTTAATAGGTAAACATAAGCAACATGTGACAAGAGAAAATAATTATAGTCAAGCAACACCGATTTGAAACATTTTGGTCGCACGGGGAATGGCTCAATGCTTAAAGGCTGCTCTGAAGGTTCACCCGACCAAAAACGACTTACGCGTGCTTCTTAATTTTTAGTTTGAACTCCAGAGAGACCTCAAAGCTTAGACCCATCTCACATGCGATCAAGAGCCGCGAAAAACAAAGATAAAAGCGTTTTTTTTGAACCTTGAATCGCACCAAGCCTCTCATAATTATGAGAACTTTGAACATCTTGAAATTCCTTCCTTTTTTCTTCCCATTTTCGATGCCTTAACCTCTATAATTAGGAGGGGGACACTACAGTAGCCTAGAAACCAACGATTTCACTAGTTTTTTTTTCTCATTTTCAGTTGAAAAATTGGTAGTTTTGTTGGATGTACAGCTCAGTCACAACCCTTTTAAGGCGTAATTTGGGTTTTCTGAGCATTTTTTATTCTGGAAAAAAAAAAGCTTTCTACGATTTCGAAATACCATGATGACATTCAGATGTATTCTCATCATTAGAAAGAAAAATCAGTTCGAGACAAAAATTTCAAAACGTTTTGAAACTTTATTCTGCTGTAATTTTCAAGCCTCTTCCACGTCATCTCAGGAACTCCAAAGTGGTCACTCCAGGGGCGACCTAGGGAGCCTTGAAGGGTCCCCTCTAGAGACCACTTTACTAATCCCTACAGGGGCTCTCAAGCTTGCAAAAGTAGTCCCTATAGGGGTTTTAATCAATTACCTTTAGGGATCATGCTGGTCGATAATCGTTATGAACTTTAAGAACCATTTCCATGGGAAAAACTGAATAAACAAGCGTTTTTTGAATGAAATTGAAAGACCCCTATAGGGTCCACTTGAGCTTTAGGGGCTAATGGGACAGACCTCAAAATCCTATAGGGATCACCTTAATTTGACCCTATAGGAACCACTTTCTTGGTCCTATACGATTTTTTCCCCTAACCCCTTTAGGGACCACTGTGGAGTTTCATTTTTTCTAATGGAGGCATTTAAAAAATTAACTTTGGAATCCAGAAGCCTCCCAGGTGGCAGTAAAGTACAGAAAAATGAATTCATTTTTTTTCCAAAAAGTTGTTTTTGGTTTAAAACTTCTTTTTTGATCAAACTTGAACCTACTCCTCATAATAGGAATAACTCATGCGAGAAAAATAACTATATTCGAAAGTAGCTGAAAGAAATACAATGGAAAGAAACACGGAAAAGTCCAAAGTTTTCCCCTAATTGTGTCCGAAAATTGGAAAAGAAACATGGTGAGAACTAGAGAAAAGAACATGCGTGAACGGAATACTATAGCAGATGAGTTGAAGAATTGAATTAATTCCTTCGCTCACCTACAAATTCAAACTGAATTTTGAAACTGACATCGAAAATCGCGTGACACACAACGCTTGGCAAAGCAAATTGGCACGTTTTGTCCGTATCAAAACATTAATTAACCTACGCGAATACCGACACCCAAGTATTAGGAGCTATCTCAAAAATTGTAGGCTTTGAAAATGCTCCAAAACTTGCAAAATGAACAAAGCAGAGAGGATATGAAAACGCAAAAAAGTTTTGGGCCGAACCGGGGATTGAACCCGGGACCTCTCGCACCCAAAGCGAGAATCATACCACTAGACCATTCGGCCATGCGTCTCTCGGCGGCAAACCGCAGACAAGAGGTCTCGTGGAGGCGCTTCCTGTGTTGAGGAAAAAGCTGGAAATGTTTATCTTCTTCGAAAATTATCTATTACTGCTTGCATTTTCGAGGTTTTTGAACGACTTAACCGTGTCAAGGTCACACTCGTTCTTTTTCTGTCGACGCTACTGATAACCAGCTTCAGAATTGCCAAAGCAGATTCGATTCACTCTCATTGTAACATTTGAAGCGCGGCTTTTCGCTAGGCATTACTTTTTCCTTCCTTCCTTGTTGGTCTTTTCGTGGTTCATCGATTTTATACTGTTAGGGAGGTGAGTTTGACGAAATGGGTCTATTAATAGCGATAATTCGACTTTGAGTAACAATCTAATGCTTTTGAAATCGGGAACTCGTCTAGGATAATTTGAAATGTTTACTCAAACTTTCGGAATGTAACAGCTATTGAACTTTTCCTCAAAATTTCATCATTTCCCGGGATTTCCTTCTAAAAATCGAATATGAATACAACGTTTTTATTTTCATCGTTTTCCAGGTCACATTATTTCATTACCCTGCCCTTGCTGGCAAAAAAACAACAGTCTATGAAGAAACCCCGTTATCGTTCACGTGGCAGTCTTGAAAAATATATATATAAGTTTATGTATGGACCTTTTCAAGTCTTATTTTTTTTTGTTTCATTTTGATATATTTTCCTTCTCTTTGTGATTTTTTAAACCTTAATTTTAGTCTTGAAAAAAAGATTCTGACGAAAGTTACGGGGCTATTTTTACTATTTAAACTACGCGAATATATGGCCTGTTTTCAAGGTTTAACTTCACCTACTTGAAAAAAAAAATCATACTTCTAGTTATTCTAGCCTTAAAAAAAATCCGATGAAGAAAAAATGTTTTCAAGAATTTGCTAGACCTTGGAACATTGTGATTTCTTCACGTCCTCTTTTCTCTCGAAAAATTTTATCTACGAGATATTTTTCCTTCGGAGAGAGATGAGAGACGTAGAGAGGTCAGACTGTTTCAATGGCTTCACAAAGAGAAATTTACCGTCCATAAGAAATTGATAATAAATAAATGATTTCTTGATGAACTTGGAATTTTTCAGAAAAAATCACATTTCCTGATAAGAAATCGGGCAACGTGTCCTCAGGCTACAAGGCTAGATTGAGCTCCTTTTTTGGCGAAAATTTATTCCAAAGACCAAGAATTTTTTTTTTCGAAAACAGCTTCTTTCGAGAAAACCTAGTACAGACTTTCTCGATCATTTTGATAAAAACAAATTATCTTTTTCCCGAAAAATGCACTTTTCTGGATAAGAAACAAATTTTTGTGATTGTAAGGCCACAATGCTTGTCTCTACCCTATTTTTACAGGAAAGGTAGAAGTGAAATAAAAGGATTTCACTTGAAAAAACCACTTGGATGCTCGATGAAAGAGCAGAAATTTTTTGAAAAACAACTTTTTCTTGAGAGACCTAGTACAAGGTGCACTAAACACTAGACTACGCATAGCATACTCTGATGTTATCAATCTGTCGCTTTTATCAAACTGTGCTCCTTGGACGCCATAACAGTTTTCTCGATTTTCCGTTTCTCGTGTTGTTCAGCTCCACTATTTTTTTTAACTTATTTTTTTTTCTAAGATTTATTGCTTTTTTTTTTAGAAAAATGTCGGTCCAATCAAAGCTAATGGAGACGGTGATCGATCCGGACAAGAGGAAGAAGGTGAGAATAACTCGGGGAAAGTCGAAGTGGTGTATAATAACGGCTAAAAGGGAGATGCTCAAAAAAGGCCGCAAAAAGGCAGCAAAAAGAGTCCCTTCATCGAACCTTTGATGTTTTCTAGATTTTTAAAGGTTCAAAAAATGATGGGAAAAGGGAGAGGCAGCAAAAATGGTGCATAAAAGCCGATGAAATGGCGCAAAATGGTAGCAGTTCATTTCAGTTGTAGATGTGGATATTAAGACGTTATTCGTTCTATTTTTCGAGCGATAACAAGCTAATTCCTTGTTTTTGATGATTTCTCATTTTCGGAGCCTGCTTTGAGAAGTTTAGGGAGGGGGGGTCAGAAAAAAGAGGAAACAGGAATTTTTAAAGTTCAAAAAATCTTCTGAAGAAAGTTAAAGTTCGGGAAGAAGTTCCTCTTTGAAAAAAATTATGCTTTTTAGATGAAAAAAATTGAATCGTGTACTCAATATTTTTGCTTTATTAGGTGCTCGAAAAAAATCTTTAACAATTACACAAATGCTTTTTTGTACTAAAAGAAGATCTCAAAAAAATTTTTTAAGAAAGAAGGGCCCAAATCTTCAATTTTTACTAGCTTTTGATGGAGTTTCTTGTACTTGGGTCCTCATTTTTCAAAAAACTAGGAAGATATGCAATGCAGGTAACTACCATCCGTATCTTGAAGCTTATAGAAAACCAAGTTTCAGGGATTTTAAGTGGAATTATCAGTTTTTATAAGACATTTTTAGGCTCTTCTGGCAGCTGGTGCGGCCGTTCTTGGCTTGGGAATCGCTCATTTATGGACCCTCAGAAATTGTAAGAAAAATCTTTTTGAGAAAAAAAAATTAACTTTATAGCTAAAAAATCGGAGAAAATCTACACGACATTGGAAGCGAAGACGAAGAAGAAAGGCAGCGGATTGGACGCAAATTTTCTGAAACAGCTCCGAGTTTTGCTCAAAATTATGATTCCGCGGTTTTTCAGTCGTGAAACTGGAATTATTGGTTTTGAAATTCTTCCAAATTATTAAAGAAATGCTTCGATTTTCAGCCATGCATTCTTTGATTTTGATCTGCCGCACTTTCCTGACGATTTATGTGGCTCAACTCGAAGGAACAATGGTTCAAGCCATTGTTCAGAAGGTTTGGGGTTGAAGAAATTGAAAATTCTTGATTTTCTGTTCGAAATCATCTTTGACGCGCTGACCATGCGCCTTTAAATAGTACATGACAGGTTTTTTTTCAGATTGAGAGTTTTTAGAAGGCTTTTTTTCTGAGTTATTAGGATTTTCCGCCTCTTAAAAAGCTTATTTTTCTGCAAAAAGGGCAAAAAACGGAACCCAAAAACAATTTCAATCGAGTTTTGGTGTACTTCTTATCTTATCGAAATGAAAAGGAACAACGATTTCTAGCCAATCGTGACGTCATTAGCAATAGGATCTGGAATAAGTCTATTTTAGTCTTTGAAAAGGGTAAAGTGCGCCCTTTGGAACACTTTTGAGGGTCTGATAGTGCAAATTTTTGATTGGGTGGTATTTTGGGTCGAAATGAGCTTAGTTTTTTCGATTTTTCATCATTTTTGCTACATAAATCAAGTCGAAAAATGAATAAAACGAAAATTTTGAAGAATATTTTATTCATTTCTAAGTTACAAAACGACCCATGTATCAAAATGGAAAGGGATTCCTTGAATAAAAAAGAATATATTGACTTGTACTTTTTTCAAAGGTTATGTTCATAAATTTTAAGTTTCTCATCATTTTTTTCATTGAATTCAAAGCCCATTTTATGAACTTCGTGCACCTTTTTGAATTTCATTTTTCATAGGACGTGATCCAGTTCATCATGTACCTGGCCCAATGGATCCTAGTGGCCATCCCAGCCACCTTCGTCAACAGTATGATCCGATTCTTCGAGTCCTATCTCGGATTGGCCTTCCGCACTCGGCTCACCAAACACGCCTACAAACAGTACTTCTCGGTAAGTTTCAATTTGAGACTTGAACTTGTTGAAGACTTGAGCTTGTCAGTACTTCTCGGTATTATAGCCCTTTTGAGCCTTCAAAATAAAACTTCAAGCCATTTCGGAATAAGAAAAAAAAGCTTACTATTAGGTTGTTCAGAAAGTTCTTGCGGTTTTTGATACTCCCCCTTGCAAGAATTTCTTTGAACTGGATTTTAGACTGGCCTGACGAAGTTATATATCATTTTGAAGCGCGTGGCATGTTTTATTTTGTAAGCGTAATTGTATAACTTTAAAAAAAATTTTGTAAATTTTATGTAATTTAGAAATAAGGGTTAAAAACAGCGATTAGAATAGCTTTTTTGTTCTTCTAGAATATTCTTTGATAATCTTGTTCTTTTGAAATTCCAATTTGTGGCTCTAACTTCTTTTAGAATGAGTCGAAAGGGATAGTCGATTCATGGCTAACTTGAAACGCTCAGAAGGCGTGGTTTGTCTGCGATCTACGCCAACCAGGCACTATCTCTTCTTTTATGAGTCGAAAGGACCCACTTTTCGATGGCTCAAGCCAGCCGTTAATCAGCTGTACAAGCAGTTTTTCTCGGTATTCTAGTCCCTTGGAAAGTTCCCTCGTAGTAAACTTGGAACTTTAACTCGCATCATGACGAAAATCAACAGAAAAGCTCTTCGGAAATCTAGAATTTGACTTTCCAAACGGGATAATATTTTTCTCGAGTTGAGGTTTATGCTACCTTTCTATTATTTTTGAGTTTTTGAAACATCCTATTAGCTCGGAAGTTTGGATTTGGATGCCCTTGAACACTCTAACCACTCTAGGGGTCACTGAAACTTTAAATTGTCAAAAAGGCCACTAAAACAAGAACCGGGAATTTTGAAGAAAAAAGGGTTTTTAAAAACTACATAGAAGAAATGTTCGATTAAAAAAGCATTTTTGTATATTTTCTGACGGAACTGTATCTTTGTAAATATATATTTTTCGTTTTTCGAGTTCCAAGTATCGATTTTCCAGGACCAAACCTACTACGCCGTTTCGAACCTCGACAGTCGGCTCCAAAACGCCGATCAATGCCTAACCGAGGACATCACAATGTTCTCACAAAGTGTCGCTCATCTCTACTCCCACCTCACCAAACCCATTTTGGACGTCGCTTTGATCACGTAGAACTTCTTCAGATTCCTATGAGAAAATGAGTTTTTCCAGTGGAACTCTCCTGAGTATGGCTATTCAAAGAGGCACCGGCAAGAGCACTTTTGTGCCGTCTTTCTTGGCGATTCTGGCCGTTTTTGGAACTGCCCGGATTTTGAGGGCGGTCTCCCCGAGGTGTGTTCGAAATCTACTACAATCAAAGCTTGATTGGGGCGGGGGGGATTTTAGAATAACCAAGTTTTTTTAAGTGGTTCTTTTGAAGCGAAGGGTTCAAATTTCGTAGGATTGATTTAAAAAGTAACTGATTTTCAATAAGTTGTGTAATTTATTTTTCAAAAATTACAAGGAAAATATTTTTTTTGGTCGGAACTAGTATAAAACTAGGGTGTCCTGAACTATAAAAAATTTTTTAAAAGAAATATGTTTCCGAGTCACTACTTGAAGTCGCGTTATGACGCTTCAAACCCATAAAATAACATTTTTTCCATAATTTATGTCATTTGTGAGTTTTTCAGTATGATAACTCGACTATAAAGGAAAAATTGAAAAATTTCTGTCTTTTTCTGAAAAAAAGCAGTAGGTTGTTGTAAAGTTCTATCAAAATTTCAGGCGCTAGAAAAATCCTTTTTTTCCCCCCAATTCCCTTGAAAGGATTTGATGTTGATAAGCTAGAATAGAGGTACAATCCGTTTTTGGATACCTGAAAGAGCTACTTTCCTCTGCACACTCTCTATTTAGCGGGCTATTTTCATGTTTCTCTGACCTCGCCGATGAGGGAACAGAGAGACGCGGACACTCGAGAATATCAACAAGATTTTTTAAGATTCGGCCACATGGTAGCAGAAGAAGCTCGAAAAAAAGGACATTTGCGGTACCTGCACTCGAGGATCATCACCAACTCGGAGGAAATCGCCTTTTATGGCGGCCATGAGGTCGGGTTCACTTGAATTTGAAGCTTTGTGGATGCGTAGCGGTTTGGCCATGGAACCCAGAAATCCTGAGAAATCAGGGATTTTCTTAGAAACTTCAAAGTGCGCGAAATAACGGGAAGTTATGTACGGGTAAATGTAGGGACCGCAGACGAATTTTCAAAAAAAAATTTTCAGCATTGAGCTTTGTATGGTTTGATAGCTGTTTCGATTTAAAACTCAGAACCGTTCAGTTTTTCAAAAAAGATTGAGGATGAAAAAAGTTATGACGAAAAATGTGGCGCGCCGCGCACCATTTTTTTAGTACTGAAATTTTGGTTTTCTCCATTTTTGACATTTTTCTCGATTGTTCTTCTAGAACAAGTTTTGATACTGTTCTAATATGATGTAACAAATCATAATAGAGTGCTAAAATGATAAAAATTTGCTAGTTTGCCGTAAAAGTCGGTATTTTCCAGAAAACAAAAAAACTGACGCTTGCGGGTATCGAACTCGCGAACTCAAAATGAAAAATCGCAGCGCACGCGCTGCGCCAAGCTGTTAAGTCTAGCGCGGGGAGCTTCCATCCGCCATACCCTTGAGCCGTTTGGATAGCACAGATTGCCTATTTCAAAAATAAAAACTTGAAGTAATTTAGCTATTTTTATCAGAATATGTTCGCAAATCTTTGCTCAAACGTTTCGTGGAAATTCACTTCGAAAAAGCTGTTTTTTAGTGCTTTTTGCCTCGTTTAACGATCGCTGCATTAAAACGGCCCCGTAAATTTTTTTGGCAAAGACGAATTTTTTTATTTTTATTCTTTTTAATTGAAAGATTTTTTTACTAATAAATGCATATAATCGTTTAAAAAAACCTGCGTTCGACCGCTTTCTGTGTGATAAACGCCGCTAATTTTTATTCTCTAGTTTCAAGAGCATTTTTTTGGCGTATTAAACAACTTTTTTTCAAGCACATATGCTGTGGAGAAAAATTTAAGTAAGCACATGATCTAAATTTTGACAAAACAAAAAATCGATTATATTCGCTTATTAACTATATTTTGAATTATGACTTTCGGCACTCCCTAAAATTTTTGGCAAAGACGAATTTTTTATTTTATTGTTTTAAAATTACCGTTACTTGAATCAAAATCATTATTTAAAAAAAGAAAGAGTGCGTTCGACCTGAAAACACATGAAAAAGCAAAAAACGACAAAATTTTTTAGTTGCATTCACGTTTTTGTACGACATTCCGCGCGAACGCATCAAAAAAGCGTGAAATATTTTTTAAACGAAAGAGGAAGCTTTTCTGTACATGTGTGCCAAAATTTATTATCCAGTTCCACATATTTTGCAACTACAGCAAAATGAAAGTTGAAAACCCAAAAAAAGCCACTTTTTCTATCGCGAAAAGGGGCGTGGCTTTGCGGTCCCTAGGTAAATGAATATTTGCGCAACTCGGTTTGGGTCGGGTTTTGGGATTCGTACCTCATTCCCTTGAATCCCAAGCGTTGCGGCTGCGTAGCGGAACCAAGAGATTCTTAGAAGTTAGGGATTTTCTTAATGACTTCAAAGAAACGAAAAAGCTGGAAGTTACGTCCGGGTAAATGCCTATTGGCGCAACTCGGTTCGGGTCGGTTGCACTAGAATACAAAGAGATTCAAGGCTTTTCGGTAGGAAAATTAACATAGAGGGCTCTGAATATCTCCTCTTCGTGCGCTATTATATTTTTCTAGAAAACGCTTAATAAAACTGAACACTTCAAGTCTATGGTGAAGGAACCATAAAATTCAGGCCGAGTACAAGCAGCTGACCAGCGCCTACGGCAACCTGTACGATCAGATGTTATTGATCTTCAAGAAGAGGATCCCCTACATCATGATCGAGCAGTTCCTGATGAAGTACGTCTGGTCGGGCACTGGAATGGTCATGATCGCCCTGCCGATCTTGGCCTCGGAGTATGCGGATACTGAACGTGAGTTTTTCGTTAGCTTGTCACAGTTTTCATTTTTTTTTCCCCATCTGAAGAACGCCCTCTCTTCAAGATATGTGACTGTCTTTGTTCATGCGCCTTTAATATTACCGAAATTCTAGGCTAGATTAAATGCGTATGCACCAAGGTTGAATCGTGAAAAAGCTGGTTCAGAATGGGTCATATCCATAAATGATTCAAAAGAGAAAAGGAAAAAAAAAATTTACTCGGAAAAAAAGTTGACGTCTTGCCCGTAGAGCAACTTTGATTCAATATTACCATTCTTTTTATTTTTTTGAAATATTTCTTCTCAAACTTTTGTACTTTCTCAAGTGGACCATTTTTCACGCAAAACTTCACGAAGTTGCTTTCTTAAAACCTTATTTTTTACTGGTCATATGCCGATCATAACTTTAAAAAGTCATAGGTCGACTTAACTTTTTTACCCGCTGAACATTGAATGATAGGTGTTTCCTGAGCCACATTTTTTCATTTCGGTAAGTTTTTCACAGTCTTTTTCGGTATACTTGAAAACCAATTTGGAATCAGCATGAAAAATCTCACTGGGCTCATTAAAAAGCCCCCCTGAAAGCACTTAACAAGGACAGAAAATTTCAAGCGTTTTTATTATTTTTTTTTCCACGCTTTTCAAGATTTCTAGCCTTCCAAAAAGTCATGTTGAGCAGGTTTTTTATTTTCAAAAAAATTCAACAACAATTTACTTTTTAGAAACCCAACGCCTGGAAGATTTACCAGATCATGGAGTTTCGGAACGAACCAAAGGATTCGCCACCGCCAAAAACCTTGCTATACAACTCGGCGGACGCGATTGAGAGGCTCATGACCAGTTATAAGGAGGTTAAAAATCTTTACAAATTTTTAATGATGTTTTTTTCGTAGTAACTTTGTTTCATTTCAAAACTGAATTTTCGGTAAAAAAATGACTTCGCGAAATTGGCGAGAGCCGTTAAATCAAGAATTATTTCAGAACCAAAAAAATTGAAAAAAATCTTCTAAAACTAAGAAATTTCCATTCGTAATCTTAACTCCCAAAAAAACCAACTTTCGAAAAACAACCTGAATTTCGCCTAAAAAAATTTCACTTTATCGAGAAAAAAATGTAAAATTTTTATTTAGAAAAAAATGAGTAAAACTATTATTTTTCAGATCACCGAACTTGCTGGCTACACGAGCAGGGTCCATGAAATGTTCAAAGTTTTCGATGACGCCAAGAGAGGAGTTTATCAGCGGGCTCTGGTTTCCGGAACCGAAGGTCAATCCAGGGGCGAGAGGTTCGACACGAGCCGCATCCAAGGTTTCTTTCGAATTTTGGCCTGTTCCAAACCAGCTGATCGAGATTTTTTCTTTCCTTCAAGCTGGAGATATTATTTTTTTTTTTCATTGCATCTCTAAACTTTTAGGATCTTCATTTGTTCATTCTGAATTATTTTTCGTAGAAAAATCAAGACTTTTCTTTAGAAAACGTATATTTTATAAAATCAGGCAATATTTTGTTTTTCCTTGGTTCCGAATGAGTGAAAAAGTCGGCAAATGTTGGCTTTTTCTGAATTTTTCGGTTATTATTGCAGGATCCTTTTTCTCAATATTTTCGTTTTCAGGAGTGGTTGTGGACTCTCCGACAAACGCGATTTGCCTTCAAGAAGTTCCAATTGTCACCCCCAACGGGGATGTCGTTGTCCGGAATATGTCCATCACGGTTTCATCGATTTTCTTCCTGTGCGAATTATTGATTTTTATTTTACAGATCAATCCAGGAAGCCACACACTTATCACTGGACCAAATGGCTGTGGAAAATCGTCGCTTTTCCGAATTTTGGGCGGTCTCTGGCCGGTTTACAGGTGGAAAAACTGAAGGGAAAAAGTGAGATTCAAGCTTTCAGAGGCCGATTAGAAAAGCCGAGAACCGACAAAATGTACTACATCCCTCAAAGACCGTACATGACGCTTGGGACTTTGAGAGATCAGGTAAAATCATCATTAGTTTATAGAGAAAGGTCAAATTTGCTCCACGGAACAGTGTCTCTTTGCTCAGACGCCAAAGGACTTTCCCTGCCATTTAGGGATCACTTAAGGGAAAAAATTAATCGCTAAATGTTTCAAAATCGTTTGAGACGCGTCAGGTTTACATTGCTAGTAATTGAATAGATGTGTTCGGCTGAAAATTGCAAAAAAAAGGGGCGTGACCAGCCAATCAGACACCTTGTTCATTAGAGCTAACTTCCAAGACTCGACAATCTGGAAAATAATTTTTTCAGGTGATTTACCCCCACACTTCCATCCAGATGCGAAGGGCCGGAGTGACGGACGAAGATTTGGCCCGTATCTTGAGAATCGTCCACTTGGAGCATATTGTTGAGCGGGAAGGAGGTAGGGGCTTCTAAATTTGGGAAAATGTGCTCCAGCGATCTAAGAAAAAACTTACGAAGGGATTCTTCGATATAGTCAATTTTCGAGTGTCTGTCTCTGTTCTCTCACCGGCGAGGTCCCAGAAACACGAAAATAGCGCGTCAGCAAGTGAGGGTCGTCGAGAGACGATGAGGGCGCAGAGAAGTCCCGCTCTTTCAAGTCGCAGAAAAACGGACTATAATTTTTCCTATGAATGAGATGGATGCTTCAAAAATCATGAAATTATGCTCTAGCGGACAGGGACTTGAAAAGAAAAACTTTTCTGTGCTCATAGTCTGTTCAGATTTTGAATATCAAACAGAAAACTCCGCTCCTAACGACGCTCTGTGGATGGCTCGCTCCCTGATTGGTTTGATTTACGCATAAGGGGCGGAGTTTGAGCAAAAGCTTGACATTCAAAAACTGAACAGACTGTAGATCTTGGGGAGATAGAAATGAATCAACTAAAGGCTTTTTAGAAATTATTTCAAAAATTTGGTTTGCTGAAAAGTATTTTTAAGGTGTCGGAAAGTTTTTATAAAAACAGGACGAAAATAATTATGAGTTTAAAAGGTTGGAACGCACAAAACGACTGGATGGATGTGTTATCCGGCGGCGAGAAGCAGAGGATGGGAATGGCTCGAGTTTTCTATCATCAGTGAGTTTGGAGGGAAGCTGGAAAGCCAGAGATTTTTTCTATAGCTGATTAACGGCTGCCTTGAGCCATCGAAAAAAGGGTCCTGACACGATGATGCACGAGATAGTGCCTGGCTCGTGGAGAGCGCAGACAGGACACGCCCCCTTAGCGTCCCAAGCTGGCCGTGAATCAGCTATAGACTTTCTGGAAAAAAAATTCAGAAAAACTTTTGTGTTGATTTTCAGCTCAGCTTCATTCGTAAATTTGATAGATCTCGGCTACTCTCCCGTTAAAAAAAATCGAAATTTTTTGCAGACCAGAGTTCGCCCTGCTTGACGAATGCACGTCAGCGGTGTCGATCGACGTCGAAGGCATCATCTACCAAGCCATCAAAGACGCCGGAATCACCCTCCTCACGGTCACCCATCGGCCCACCTTATGGTCATTTATTTTTTCACTTTTGTGGAATAAATGATATATTTAGTTCTAGAAGATGATTTCAGGAAGTTCCACACGAACCTCCTCCAGTACGACGGCGAGGGCGGCTACAAAATGAGCAGCATGACCGGGACGACCCTCGGCGACCGGATGAGCTTCACCGACGAGAAGCGCGAGCTGGAAAGGAAGCTCGCCGAGGTCCCGCAATGGCAGGACCGCCTCCATCACATTTCTCAGGTATTCATCAAGTAGAGAAAATTAAAGCAAAAATTTGCGCTCCATTGATAACTCCCTTTCGAGGTTTTTCATTCTGATTAGTCTTGTTGAAATCTCAAAGATTCAACGAAGCTGTGAATTAATCAACAAGTAAATGCCTCTGAAAGAAATTTTGCGCTCCGAAGAAACCTTATTTTTTGAAAACGTAGTTGGGAAATAGCCCGAAAAAGAAGACGGTTTCGTAAAGTTTATTGCGCTCCATCGAGAATTTACTATCTGATACGTTTCAAAATGAAAAAAATCACCAGAAAAGATTTTCAGATGGGAAATTTTGCCTAGGGTTTAGTAGAAAATAGAATACCCAAAAAGTCTCTTTTAGCTGAGTTTATGCGCTCCATCGATAATTAACTTTTTGAAGCTTTTATTTTGGACAAAAATAGTTGCGAGAATAGCTGGAGAAAGATAATGAATCTGTGAAGTTTAATGCGCTCCATCGATAATGTTTAATGCGCTCCATCGAGAATGTTTAATGCGCTCCGTCGATAATAAGTTTGTGAATCACGAAATTTTTACACAACTGTAAAAGCCTTCTTTGTCTGATCTATTGCGCTCCATCGATAAATTATTTTTTTAATTTTTGACACTTTCTCGGCATCCTTCTCACTCTTTTGCAGTTTTAAAACCTCTACAAACCGATCAATAATTTCATAAACCTTAATTTCAGATCCTGGGAGACGACAGGAACGGCGAAATCTCATTGGACACGGATGAAAGCGGCGAAGCTGACGTCTGAATTGATCCTAGTTAGAATCAGAAAATAATCTTGAATTTCTTCGAAGCCGGTATTTCACACATTCTTCTTCATTCTCTCACATTTTGTTACCCTTGTGCTTTAAACTCTTGATTATAGTCAATGTTTCCCGACTTGAAAGGCGAGGGAGGCGTGGCAAGGGGCGGGAAGCGTAGCGTGTGCGTACGCGGTTCTTGGCACGTGTTCAATTCAACCGCTAGCGAGCATTCAGAGAGCTTATTTATCGCTCTTTTCACTTCTTTTTTAATTATTTATTGATTATGTTCATGTGTGCATCAAAAAATAGAAGAAAATAAAAAAAAAGAGCGGTTGCCGAGCTTTTTAAATAGTCGGCGGCGATTGAATTGAACTCGTGCCAAGAACCGCGTACGCACACGCTACGCGTCCCGCCCCTTGCCCCGCCTCCCTCGCCTTTCAAGTCGGGAAACATTGACTATATAATGTTTTATAATGAATAAAGTTTTGAAAGCTTTCAGATGGATTTTTTTGAGGAGGGGGGGGGGCTTCAGAGGGAAAGGGGTGTGAGCTTTCAGAGTCGGGCACTTGCTATCTGCCCCTTTTTCGGTTTTTTGAGCTTTTGTGAAGAAGCTACGAATCAGTACGACAAGAAAGAAATGAACTGACTAGTGAGGACTCGAAAAGTTTCAAGTTTCAAGTATGAGTTTTCGATCGATAGTTCTCGACGAGAAAATAACCGGAGGCCAGGTTTGACCTCCGTAGGTCAACTAGGAACTAAGTTAGAGGCGATCAAACTTAGAAATCGAAAATCTCAACTTTCGTCATAATTGGTATCTATCGATAGAGGAGATCACTGAGGTCATGAAAAACAAGGTTTCTGAGATCCTAGGTTCCTAGAAGTCGAGATATTAATGATAATAAACTTTGAGAAATCATATCTTTTTTTCTAGGAGGCGAGGGACTTTTCCACCTGGATTTTTGGACATCTGACGTCATTTCCTATCGATTGATGTAAAAATCTCGGAAACTTTGGTTTTCGGGAAAATCGAAAAAAGTACAGTCTAACCCCTTAGGTTTTTTTACGAGCTTTTGAGGTCATGGAAGCCGATCTGAACAAAATGTATATCAATCGATAGATCTCGACGAGAAAATAACCGGAGGCCAGGTTTGACCTCCGTAGGTCAACTAGGAACTGAGTTAGAGGCGATCAAACTTAGAGATCCGAAATCTCAATTTCCGCCGAAAGTGGTATCAATCGATAGAGGATATCACGGAGGTCAGGAAAAACTAGGTCTCTGAGTTCCTAGGCTCCTAGAAGTCAAGATATGATTTTTCAAAATCTCACAAATGACCAACTTTGAAGGACTTCAACTCTGTTTCCAGGCATTTTTGAATGAATCAGCTTTGATTTCTGGACACAGCACGTTATTCTGCGTCGATTGATGTAGAAAACATGAACATTTACAACTGCACTGATAGGGCAAATCTGAAGCTTCTGGATGAAGCTCAATCCGTTGATGACCTTTATCATTAGAAAGTCGACGACGAGACGAATCGATTGACGTAATTAATTAAGCTGTAGCTGCTCCGGGAGCCGAGATATGAGCCTTCAAAGATCTCGGGAAAAATAAGTTTGCGCGTCAGGTGAAATGCATTGTATGAGGTTGGGCGTCGGGTCAGGTGCTAGTCTGAGGCCTTCATCGGTGTGGTTTCCTCGCGAAAAAGGAAAAGCTCAAATAAAAGTTTGACTTTTTCAAGTTTTTTCTAGTACAATCAATAGAGCAGCTTCCATATAGTACTGTTATCATATCAGTTTCAAAGGAAAAGCTCAAAAAATGGGAAAAAAATAAGGTCGAAAAAACCGCCTTTTTCGGACTTTCAAGCTTCATAACTCCGTTCATTTTGAAGTGACGGGGAAACTGATTAAACCGATCGATTTGTCTTGTTATTAGCTTTCCAATGGTATACAACACTAAGAGACTCTGACAGCGTTAATGACGTCACAGGTTTTTCCAGCTTACATCTCAGCTTTTCCATCAAATCGAAGGAAATTGCTATCAATCGATAGAACGTTTTGAGACGAATCTAATGATCTAACCCAGTCCCTGATACTCATCAAAAAAATTGACTTTTAAGCTGAGACAAGTCTGAAGCTTCTGAATGAAGCTCAATCTGTTGATGATCTGAATCATTGGAAAGCTGACAACGAGACGAATCGATTGATATAATCAGTTTCTCTGTAACTTCAAAATGAACGAAGTTATAAAGCTTGAAAATCCTAAAAAGGGGATTTTTTCGACCTCATTTTTGACCCAATTTTTGAGCTTTTCCACAGAAACTGATATGATAACAGTACTATATAGAAGCTGCTCTATCGATTGCACTAGAGGAATCTTGAAAATAACAAACTTTATTTTGAGCTTTTCCTTTTTCGCGAGGAAACCACACCGATGAGAGCCTCAGACTAGCACTTGACCCGACGCCCAACCTCAGACAATGCATTTTATCAGACGCGCAAAATTATTTTTTACGAGATTTTCGGAGGCCTGTATCTCGGCTCTTAGAGCTGCTACAGGTTATCTAACTATATCAATCGATTCGTCTCATCATCAGCTTTCCAATGATCTAGGTCACCAATAGACTGAGCTTTATCCAAAAGCTTGAGACTTGCCTCAGCTTGTAACTTGACTTAAAGATAGGTTATCAGTGAGTCAGATAAATGATTAAATTTGTTTCCAGGCGCTCTATTGATTAATAACATTTTCTTCCGATTTAAGGAAAAAGCTGAGATGTAAGCTGGAAAAATCTGTGACGTCATTCAAGTTGATGAAGTCTTTTATAATTGAAAACCAACGGAAAACGGATAACAAGACAAATTGATCGATATAATCAGTTTCTTTTTAACCTCAAAATGAACGGAGTTATGAAGCTTGAAAGTCCGAAAAAGGAGATTTTTCGACCTCATTTTTTTGACCCAAATTTTTGAGCTTTATCCTCAGAAACTGATATGATAACAGTACTATATAGAAGCTGCTCTATCGATTGCACTAGAGAAAATCTTGAAAATAACAAACTTTATTTTTGAGCTTTTTCCTTTTTTTCGCGAGGAAACCACACCGATGAGAGCCTCAGACTAGCACTTGACCCGACGCCCAACCTCAGACAATGCATTTTTATCAGACGCGCAAAATTATTTTTTTACGAGATTTTTCGGAGGCCTGTATCTCGGCTCTTAGAGCTGCTACAGGTTATCTAACTATATCAATCGATTCGTCTCATCATCAGCTTTCCAATGATCTAGGTCACCAATAGACTGAGCTTTATCCAAAAGCTTGAGACTTGCCTCAGCTTGTAACTTGACTTAAAGATAGGTTATCAGTGAGTCAGATAAATGATTAAATTTGTTTCCAGGCGCTCTATTGATTAATAACATTTTCTTCCGATTTAAGGAAAAAGCTGAGATGTAAGCTGGAAAAATCTGTGACGTCATTCAAGTTGATGAAGTCTTTTATAATTGAAAACCAACGGAAAACGGATAACAAGACAAATTGATCGATATAATCAGTTTCTTTTTAACCTCAAAATGAACGGAGTTATGAAGCTTGAAAGTCCGAAAAAGGAGATTTTTTCGACCTCATTTTTGACCAAATTTTTGAGCTTATCCTCAGAAACTGATATGGTAACAGTACTATATGAAAGCTGCTCTATCGATTGCACTAGAAAAATCTTGAAAATAACAAACTTTATTTTGAGCTTTTCCTTTTTCGCGAGGAAACCACACCGATGAGAGCCTCAGACTAGCACTTGACCCGACGCCCAACCTCAGACAATGCATTTTTATCAGACGCGCAAAAATTATTTTTTTACGAGATTTTTCGGAGGCCTGTATCTCGGCTCTTAGAGCTGCTACAGGTTATCTAACTATATCAATCGATTCGTCTCATCATCAGCTTTCCAATGATCTAGGTCATCAATAGACTGAGCTTCATCCAAAAGCTTCAGACCTTCCTCAGTTCACAAGTCAGTTTTTCGATAATTTATTTCTAACTCGTCTTATTGAAAAAGCTTGAACATCATTTTTAACGGTCAAAAGTCGCAAGCTACGAAAAAACTTTTTTATTATTTCATCTCAAAATAAATAAAGTGTGAAAAACCCGTTGATGTGCGTGAAATCTTGTTGTGTGTGATATGAAATAATATAAAACGGATTATGAGATTTTTGATATGAATGAAATCAAATCGAGAGAGGGAAAAGGTTAACATGAACTTCAACCGTAAGCAAGGGAAAATTACCATGAAAATGAAGAGAAAAAATTTAATTATCGGGTAGTTGGGGAAAAGCCTAGATAAAAGGAAAGACGTGTGAAAAAAAACTGGATGTTAAAGATTCTGACCTGTCTGCGCCCTCTTTCCTCTCACTGTTGAGTTTAGAAATAGAATGTAAACCGAGAGAGTTGCCGAGAGAAAAAAGGGTGCTAAATTTCATATCAAAACTACATCCATCACTGGGAAAAAATTACTGCAAAGAGGTCTGCACCTCTCTCTTTCACACACTATTTCGTCAGTCGTGTCAAGACCAAGATGTGGATGAACAAAAATTCAAAAAAGGTGTCTCAAGATTCAGTTCTGCTCTAAAAGAAGTGGCGGGCCTTAAATCATGATAAATGGAATATTGAAAGGTTCAGTTCAAAGATGGGTCTGTTCGGTGTCCTGGTAGAAGATCATGGAAGCGTCTGAAGCCTGTCGGATCAACGGCGTCGTGTTCCATTTGCCGAATCGGTCGATGGTTCGGGCGGTAGGAGTCGGGGCGTCGCACACGCTTCGGCTCGTCGATCTGCAACTGAATTCCAACTTTTGTACTCATTTTTGAGAGCAGAAACTTGTTTTCTTAAGATTCCATAAATTCAGAAAGACCTAAAGAAAAGAGGGGTGAAAATAGCCTTTGAAAAGTTTTTCCTGGGCATTTTTAAAATTTTTTTTTCCAAGAAATGAAAAATTGAGGGAAAACAGAGAAACTTCAAAAAAAGGTGACTGAAAGCCCGAATTTTTTTGAAAAAAATAATTTTTTGCTCCTTTCTACGGAATTTTTCGAGGTCTCTAAGAAGCCCCTCCTCCATAAGAAATCAATTCTAAAAAACCAAATTTTCAAAAAAATCTACATATGCCCAAAACGATCTTCCCGGCACTAGAACAGCGAAAAAAAATCTCTTTTAAAATTTTTTTTTTGCTCCATCCAACCATTATTATTATTAATACATTTCTTTGTCATCCCGTACTTATTAACCTAAAAGCTTCCTCCGCAATTATTCTTCGAAATCCAATATTCAAATAAATATTTCAACATCAAAAAGAAAGAAAAAAAGAACCTTTTGGGATGATCACCATTCGCTGTCATAATGCTGACGTGGTCATCTTGGCTGTATTCGTTTTTCATCTAAAAATGAGGAAAATTTCAATTTTTCAGTAAAAAAAAATACAGAAAAAGTCAAAGATGACATGAAAAAAAAAGTTAATAATTCAAATATTTCTTCGATGATTTCCAAATAAATATATTCAAACTGTTAAGAAACAAAAATCTACGTTAAAACTTGGAGAATAAGCCTGATTCCATTGACAAAATTTGATGCAGAACCTCATATTTAAGAAGAAAAAAAAATTCATTTTCTGGCCTAAGGCTCAAAAACTTACAAATGTTCTTCATAGTTTTCTCATAAAACAAAACGCATTGGGGAAATATTTAGTGGGCTCTTTAGGGTTTTGAAGTTTTAATGGCCCCTATAGCAGTTTGACAAGTGATCACTTGAGTGGCTGGAAATAAGTGGGCACTTTAGAAGTCAGAGTGGCACTACTGACCACTAAAACTACTATAGTGGCCACTAAGACGCAAAAAAGTGGTTGCTATACAGTTGGTTTTGGTGGTCACTTCAGCGTCCTCTCCTAGTAGTCCTTGAGGAACCCCTTAAGTGGACCATAGGGTTTCTCAAAGTTATTCAACTTTAATATTTTATAAAATTTAAAAATCTCGAAAAATTTTTTTCTATATGTAAAGTGTTCATCATAAAGTCTAAACTTTCCGTTTTTCTAGACCTATTTTTCTTCTGACTTCTTTTAAAAATCCAACCTGAAGCTGCGTATTCAGAAGGCCGTAAAGAATCCAGTTAGAAGACGTGCCAAAGTAGGGCAGAAGATGTACACAGTAAATGACGAAGAGAAGAAGTTCAGAATGCGTCGCCGACTTTCCCAGAAGCGACATCACGATGGCGTACAGGACGGAGAACCTGGAATCGAAGCATTGTTGATGAAAATTGGGATTTTAATGGCGCAAGATTTTATGATTTTTGTTGAATACTCAGTCAAAAACGCTTCAAAAAATCAAAAACTTTTTAAGGTTTGAATATGTGATGATAAAGGTATAAAAACCAACCAATAGGGAGTCCAACAGACAAAATAAACAGCGGCAATGAGAACCGTGTAAATGACGACCCGTCGGACAGGAATCGCCGATCGTGGCAGGACCCTTAATCAATAAGGTTGATTAAATTCGAAAATTAGCACTAAAAACTCTCTCAAAACATATAAATTGAGGGAAAACGTGGAAAAGTTAAAGAAAAAAACGCTGGTTTTTCGCAAATTATTAAAAATATAGGTTCAATGATAATTTAAGGCCCGAAAATTAAATTTGAAAAATTCCAGGGGCAGGCGTATTTTTATTGTGAAAGCGTCAAGAAAATGATGAAATTTGACATTTTTTAGAAAACAATAAAAATTCCTGAAAAACTATTGCATAACTTCAAAACTCCGAATCTCACCTCTTATGTGCATACAAATTGTTGATAAGCTTCAAGTTAAAGTAGACGATCAGTATCAATGGGACGACGTAGCCGAGGATGAACGTCCTGAAAAACAAAGAATAAAATTTCGTCTAGAAAATAATAAGAATAGTGAAAAAAGTCAGTTTCCAAGAATTTTAAATACTGAAAAATTGGAGAAGATCTACCATTTTCGTGCATTTTTGCCTGAAAAATTGATGACCGTCGTTAAAAAAATTTTTTTATAAAAAAAGCTGAAAAAAACACTTTTGGAGTTTTCTAAACAAAAAAATAATTTCATTACCAAAGAAAAAAATAGAAATTTTTCATTATTCTTCACTACGCCGACATTTCATGACCAATATTTACGGATTTCATCGAAATAGGTACTTTTTTTCAAACGGAGAATCCCTGTTCAAAACCATTAAAGAACTTCAATTAAAAGAAAAAAACGAAAAGAAAAGCAAAAACTTCAAAAATTCGAACAAAAAAAAATTTGGAAAAATGGAAAATCGACTTGTCTATAGAGCATAATTGTTGCAAAAACACAAGTTTTTCTGAAAATTCGGATTTTTTTCCGAATTCACGGGAAAATGTGTAATTTTGGTTTTCTTTCTTCTCTATATTTTTACATGCTATTCTTAAATACTTACGTTGACGTGAACCAGTAGAAAATGGGAGCCGGCATCATATCGGAGCACTTGAAAACGCGGACTCGTGTAATGTTCGCACTTTCCGGCGCGTGGAGTTCGTGGAGGACCATTTCTTTGGCTCGGGCGTAGGTCAACATCGGCAGGAGCAGTACGAATGCCACTGTCGACAGGCCTGAAACTTGAAAATCATATGATAATCGAGGCAAAGTCCGAATTACACAGAAGGAAAAAATCGAAAGTTCAAGAAAAACGACGGTTTTCTACGACTTCCTTACAATGGTCCCCATTGAGACACCAAAGCCAATATTCTCCTTCTCCAGCCATATTTTTAATCTATCGAGGAAAAGGCTTCCCCCATTCGCGTTCAAATTAATTAACTTTGGCTCTTATTAATCCAGTTTATCCATTCAGGGCTATTTTCGGGCTAAGAATATTACAAAAGGAAGCGAAAAAAGCTTATTTTCAGGATAAAAATTGACCGGAGAAATAGAATAATTGCAAAAAACCAGTTTATATGGTGAACTTCGAGACAGTCACGTTTTTCAAACACAAAAAGGAGAGCTACCGTAATTCCAGCTCTTTTTTTCGATTTCGCTTCGAAAACCCGTAAAAAAGGTCTTGAAGCGAAGTTTCCCCCGGGAAGTTTTCTGGTGAAATAACTGCTCAAAAGTCTTTTCATAAGATAAATTTCGATACGGTCCAGTTTTTCAAGCACAAAAGAAGGAAGGCTACCGTAATTAGAGCTTTTTATGTGATTTCGTTTCGAAAACCCAAAAAAAGGGGTTTCAAAGCGAAAATTTCCGATGGAAGTTTTCTAGTAAAAAAAAAACTGCTCGAAAATCCTTTCAGATGGTAAAAATACAGAAGAATTGAAGCTACCGTAACTACAGCTTTTTTTGATTTCGCTTCGAAAACCCATATAAGGGTCTCAAAGCGAAGTTCTCTCCGGAAAGTGTACGGTATTTTCAGATAGTTTTTGAAGAGATTGATGATTAATAAACGAACAAGTGATGACGCCGAGGACGAAGGTGCGACTCCGAAGACGGTGCTGATGGGGATAGCAAACGGCGACGTAACGATCAAAACTCATCGCCGTGATCAGAAAAGTGCTGACGATTCGGCTGACGCTGCCGCAAATGTGATGAATTTTGCACATCCAAGTGCCGAAGATCCAGAAACCGATCACGCTGTCCTGGAAACCGATGATTTTTTTTTTGAAAGTTTCATGTTGAGGAGGTTAGGTGCGGGATATCCGCCGGCGCTACCGTATTGGGCCCGTATAAGCATGGCTGTTAGAACACTTTTGGCAACCCCCAATACAAGGCACCGTTTCAACCCATTTGGGTCTCGGATTTTCGAAGAAACGGCTGGTTTCTTATAGCACCCGTTTTAGCCCAATTGAGACTCAAATAGTCTCAAAAATTTTCGTAAGGATTTTTTTAATAATTTCAGAAGCTTCCAGCTCGCATGCTGATCAGGTGTCTCAACGGGTGTACCCGTATTAAACCCGTGTTTCTGAGGTTATTTTAGTCTCAGTTGGGCTAAAACGGGGGAAAAACGGGTGTAAGAAAAATATGTAACCTAGCTGGGCTAAAGCGGGGTCACAGTTGGGCTAAAAATTGCCAAAAGTTCTACCAGCTGGGCTTATACGGGTTTAATACGGGCGCAACCGCTGAGACCCCGTGTTAGCACGGCGGGGTTACCCTGCTCAGCATGCGAGCAGTGGGACCTTTTCCCTTTTCAGCTTCTTCTGAGAGTCTCCAGAGGAGCTTTTCCGTTTGGAATGGCAAAAAACAGAATTTCCCACTCACCAGAATGGCCGGCGGTAAACTCAGCGACATCAGAAAATCGCAGACGCAGAGAGCCGCAATGTAAAGGATCGCGTTGTCGCCGGACCTTTTAAGTCTGAAAATGATTTTTCGATTGAATGAACATTTATGTTTAACTTTATATGACAATATGAAGATTTTCGATCCTTCTAAAGTCAATTTGGAAATTCTCAAGTATAGTACATCCACCACTATCTTTTCATAAACTAAAGAGATCAAATTTGAGACGAATGGGTCCTGGAACGGTAAAGGAAAGACTTACAGTAACCCAAGAGCCAGTTTACAAAATCTCCCTGTAACCGTTAGAGTTTTATAGTCTGTTCATATTTTTAAATGCCAAGCAGCTCAATCCGCCCCGGAGGATCGGTATCTTTCGCGTCGAATTCTTCTTGCGCATCAATGATGCTCTTTATAATAGCGCGTGACCTACAGCTTGAAAAAAGGTCAAAAAATCCGATTCTATTAAAGGAGCATCGTCACGAAATTATCATAAAACATCGACGCGAAAAGATACTGTAGCTTGGGGAGCCGAGTTAGCTGCTTGACATAAGAAAAAAGACTATACTCTCACGGTACCAATGGGTTCTTGGATTACTGTAAATCGCTCTTCGTTCCAGGACCCATTTTTTGCAAATTTAACGAGACTAACTTTCATTTCTTATTTTCCCTGTCTTTCCCTGAAATTTTACAAGAAAAATCCCTATATTTCTCAATAACCTCCTTGTCTCTTCGAAGTCACATGCTTTATGTTTATTTCCATCGGGAAATTTCCTTTTTTGTCTTCCCAGCCTAATCTCTTCCGTCACTGAAACCTTTTCCGGCGGTCTTCCATGACGCCGCGGATGATCGTGATAATCGAAGAGTTGCCGCAGACGCCGACGATAAAGCATAAGACAAAGACGACCACCACGATGAGGACTTTGGGCTGGAGTTCCTGGAAAAAAATGCTTGTAAATTGAAAATTTTTTTCGACTCTTTGCCAAATTATTTTTTGAGCTTTTTCTCTCTGAAGGTATATGTTATACGTATGTGGGAGCTGCATCATCGGGATAAAATTTCTATTTTTTTAAAATTCAAATTAAAAACAAGATATGAAGCTTGGAAGTCTGAAAGTTTTTGAGATTTTTGTAATCATACCATTTTTTTGATATTTTTCTTCACATTTCTTTAATTAAATTACTAATAATTTTTTTTTTCCCTCCTTTTTCTGGTCATTTCTTGTCTTACAATTCAATTTTTTTAAATCAGAAATTTTTTTCACAAAAAAAGAATCCCTATCCGAAAAACACCCCGAAAAAACGTCTAGACATCTCAAAACTTCATTAAAAACCAGTTCAATCTCGTTCCGAACCGCTCATCAAGCCTTTCTCACAAGATTTAATGAAAACAACCCAAGAAAGTTTAATAAATGAGCCCAGAAAATCGAAAAAAGGCGCCTAATTGCATGGAGGAGCCTCGAAAAATAGTAGCCCTCGAAATTCCAAGTCACGGCATTTTCTGGGGGGAAAACAAAACAAAAAAAAGCTTTGAAGAGAATATTCATGAGGGTTTCTTTTCTTGTCGCTGGCTTTCAGGAAGTGAAGACCGGTGTGAAATCAGCAAAAAAACTATATTGGTTCCAAGAATCGCGTCATAATTATGGATGCGGATGTGATTTTTTGGATTTTGAAAGAACTCGGAATGGTTAAAAGCTCTGAACTTCGCTCTGAAAAAGCTTAGGGATGTCCAAAACGCAAAAATAAGAAGATTTCACGAGACTGCAAAAAAAATTCTTTGAAAAAAATTGTATTTTTTTGAATGAAATGGCTTCTCGACTGCGTCATAAATATTGATGCATCTCCCGTTATAAATAATTTTCGAATAGTTAAAAAAATACGATTGAATTCATTTAAAAAGTAAGACGTTAACCGTTAACGCGTTTAAAACGTATGTGTTGATGAAAAAAATAAATTTAAAAAAATTCCCGGAAAAATTTTTTTCACTTGCGTCATAATTATTGCCTCAAATTTTTTTGATGAAAAAAAGAGCAGTTTCCCGTGCGTCATAGGGTTTTTTTTAACTTCGCTTAATTTCAATAAAAAAATGTTATCAAGATTTATTCTCACGGTAAAATTTAAAAAATTGCCGAAAATTCCTAATAAAGTTTACATGATTCTCAGAGGAAAATGTCTTTAAAAATTCGAAAAACCTTCCCTGAGTGCGTCATAATTATTGATGCAATCAATTTTTTGTGGTTGTCGGAGTTCTCAATGAACTCTTCATAACGAATTTTGATCCCCATCATATAAACTACGTGATTTTTTTAAAAAAAGTACTCATTTTTCACTACTGAATGGAAGTTTTTGTGGTTATTAATCTATTCGTAGAGTGCTTCTGGATTAGTTTTTGGTGAGAAGATGAATGAGAAAATCTGCTAATCGTATAATTGAATAAAAAAAATATTACTACGATTCATTACCCTGTTAAAAACCTGATTGAACTTTCGAGATATAGTTCAAAAAGCAGGTGGAATGATGTCATTCAAAGTTCACATTTCATTTTTTCCATTGTTTTCCTTAAAAGTCTATTTTAGAAAGGGAAACAAGGAATTTTCGTTAATCTGAGCGAAAATCTTGATGAGAAGGGGAAAAAAAGCAATTTGTGCCCCTTCTAATCCTCCTAAAGACGTTGGAAATCAAGTGTTCGCAACAATTTGTTGAAAATGGAAAAATGTTTTGAGAAGGCCTTTTTGTGATGTTCTGATGTGCTCTATTGATAAAATGGCCGTCTTTGGGAGAAGCTTCCGAAAAATCTGGTTTAGAGGAGTGAAAATCGTAAAAATCTTTTTTCCAGGTTCAAAAGTGCTTCAATAATTACAATTGAAGCACTTTTGGGCCTGGAAAAAATTCTACAAAAATTAAAAAAAAAATTTTGAGACTTTCAAAAACTCGAAATTTACCCTGAAAACTTCCCTTCCCCCTCAGAGAAAAAAAGAAAAAAGATTGAATTTGTTCAGAAAAAAAATAACCCGAGGTAAAATGAGATTGGAACGGAGACAATTTGGAGGAAGAGGAAGTTTTTTTTTCCTTTGATTATTCCAGATATTTTCTTGAGATTACTGTCTTTTTCTCGGTGGAGCACAGTTGGAGCCTGTTCAAAATTTTCTTATTTAACTTTTTTTTAGGTAACTGTTTCATCAATGGAGCGAAGTTTAGTGTCAAAATTGAGCTTTTTTTTGAATTTTAGTTTCTATTGAGCTTTTTATGTTTCCTTATTTTCTGAAATTTCATATTATCATCGGAGCACATTTGAGCCTAAATTTTTTTCCTTAAATTTATTATTTCTATTTTTTTCACGAGTTTCTTTGAAAATCCTTTTTGTCAATGGAGCACATTTTTCCCTATCAAATTTCGGCCTTCGAGTTTTTTTTCAGAAAAACTTTCTCGTATAGCCAAAAATTGCCGCGTGAGAAAAATAGCAACTTTTGGGACTAATTTGCTCAGAACTTCTTATTCTGGAAGTCTTGTGAGAAAAAATAAAATAAATGAGAGGCGGTGGGCTAATTATAATCCCTGTTTCTCTTTCATAAATTAATGGATTCTTCGAAAAATGTCCCGACGCAAACTTTGATCAAGAAACATTGCGTGTGGGGAATCCGCGTGGGAGAAGTTTTTTTTTGGTTTTTTTTGACTTTTTCAAAGAATTCCGAGTTTTCGATCTCAAAAAATTCACCTGGTTCGTGAACTTTTTCCCAAAAAGCTTATGAAATAATTTAAAGAAATTAATTTATTTTTCCAGGCTTTTTTTCTAACAAAAATTAAGTAAATTCTCTCAATTTTCACCTGTACCTTGAACTTTTCCCCACTTCCGCCAGAAATCAAAAAAAAATCGAATTTTTCAAAGTTTTTCTTGTCTCAAAATCTTTTTGATTTTTTTGTTCCTTAGAAGAAAGGTAATTATACTTTTGAACTCGGAATTTTCCGAAAACTGACCAGAATATACTTTGACGTAGCGGGAAAAGGTTCTGAAAGTCTGAGAATGCAGAAATTCCTAGTTTTCGCTCAATGAGTCTTTTTTGGGCTTTCTTCTCTGAAAATTGGGAATTTCTGAGTCTTGTAGAATTTTAATTTACATAGAGTGTTCTGGCCAAACTTCAAAAAATCAAAAAAAAAACCCTTTAATTCAAAAATTTCGAAAATTTAAAATTTTTGACATTTTTTTCTATGAATATTTTCTATTCAAAAAAACTTTTTCTAACCGAAAAAAAGAAAAAAAGATCATTAGAACAACAGGAAAAGTTCCTTCTGGCGACAAAAATAGCATCAATTTTCCTGGAATCCCTCATTTAAAATGCCTTGTCGGCCAGCTAATTCTTCAGAAATTAGTCCCAAGAAAACCGAAAAACCGAAAAAAACCGAAAAAACCAAGAGTTTGTAATTAATGAGACACGATACAAAGAAATCCTGAAATCCAAACAATTTTTTTCGCGACGACTACATTTTTTTGTCTACCCCTACAAAAAAATATTCAATTACAATTTATTTATTTTTTTCATTGGATGAAATAGATCTTTGAATTCGTAGATTTAATCTGGAACAATCCATTGAAAACCCCTTCGGATGACGAGGGGGGTAGGGGCTTTTAGTTTTTTTCCCTGAACCTCAGAAAGATCAATTTGACCCAAAAAAATCATTTCCAAAGCTTTAACCTAACTTTTAAAAATTCCAAAAAAAAAAGAACCTGTATGGGCGGGTAGACGTTGCGTACCCAGAAATGTCCCGACTGAGTCCCGTTCTCCAGGAGCCTGGGACATAGGAGGATCCCATCGGGCAGCGTCCGACATCGTTCCGTCTCGATCGACGCCATCACGCGGCTGTAACCCGTCGTGTAAATTTCGAACTCGGTGTTGGCGTCCATGTCTTTTCACAGAAACCCGGCTCGGGTCGGTTGCAGATATATCAGCAGATTATATTATCATGTAGAAATCGATAGTGAGGAAGCCGAGGCAATATTGGAGGAGACTTTTTTGGGCAAATAGCTCGGCCAGAAAGGCCACGCCTCTTCTAAGAGGGCGTGGTGACGAGGGAAAACAGGGGGAAGAAAACAATTTATTGGGTACTGGGATTCCGAAATGTTGATAGAATTGTGATTCTGATGGTGGAGAAAAAGGACGATTTTTCTAACAAAATCATAGTCGATTTTCCAAAATTTGAAACAGTTTTTCAAAAAAAGTCGTGTATCGGTATAGTTTAATTTTGTATGAATGATCACCAATTACTATGGTAATATTTTTTTCGAATTATATAGTCCTGTTGAAACCGGGAGTTGAGGTTTTTGATGAATTTACAAAAAAATTTTTTTCTTGGTTTTCATAATGATCAATTCAAGCAACTTCGGTCATAAAAATATCCTCGTTTTTCCAAATTTTCTGGTGAATTTTTTTGCCAATCTGAGCAACAATGAGCACTTTTCGAAATCTCGAAAGCCTCTAAATATTTTTTTTTCCAGCAGCAAACATCAAATCAGTCTTTTTTTTTTAGTTTTTCTCATCGGATGAATGAAAAAGTACACGTTAATTTTCTCACGTCTTATCAAGCTTTTAGAGATTTTTCACGTGAGAACAACTAATAATAAAATAATCCCTCAGGCATGAAAATAGAAAAAAAAACATTTTTCGTCGAAAAATCGGAGAATTTGACCTTTTTTGTTGTAGAAAATCTCAATGTAAAAATGCTAAAACTGTGATTTTTTTGTTTCTGGTCGCATTTGGAATGGTTAGAAAGCTAGCGGCCGCGACACGGTTCGTTTTGGAGATGCACCCGACCACATACGACTTCCGCAAGTTTGAGAAAGACACTTTTTTTGGAATCTTTATGGCCGCAACGCACTGAGTCATTCCCAGTTATACTCATATTTGTCTAGAAAAAGCTACAAAGCTGAAAAAAAGGTCTCGGAGCGAAAATATTACTGTAACTGCCTCCAGCGACTTCCTCTCATGTCGTAGTCAAATCCAATAAAATTCAGTTTTTTTTCTTAATAAATTCAGTGAGACAGGTGCATTTTGTTTTCAAAATGTGAGAAAAATTATCATCTGACATTTGGAGACTGAAATTCGAAAGTTCGTTTTTTTTTCGCTAACCAAAAGCCATGAATGACTTTACCTTCAAAGGCTTCTGTTTTTTCTTCTTCAAGAGACAAAGATGATGAATAATACGACTACAAACAGAATATTCGTAGTAGGTTCCGCGAAATGATAAAAGATCACTTTTTGATCTATCAAATGAATAAATGGTATCATTTTCTTGTTAAGGATTCAGAAAATAAAACAAATTAAGGTCAAATTAAGGTCATCCCTGAAGTGACCACTATTTTCATAAAGATTCCAGAAACAGAGAAAAAGCTTCAAGTCATCCCTTAAGGGACTTGTGCTTTTCTAAACCTTCCAAAACTTGAAAAAAAAACTTCAAGTAATCCCTAAAGTGACCTCCACTTTCAAAAAGATCCCAGGAATAGAACAAAAAAAGCTTCTATGCATCCCTAAAGTGACTTCTATTTTTTTAATTGGCAGAAATCAAAATATTCGAGATTTGAAAAAAAAGCTTCAAGTCATTCCTGAAGTGACCTGTGCCTTTCTGAACCTTCCAAAACTTGAAAAACTTTGAGTCATCCCCATAGTGAGGCCAAGTTTTCTAAAGCTCCTAGAGGCTCGAGAAAAGATTCAAGTTTTCCCTAAAGTGATGTATACTCCTTTTTAAGTTTTCGCAAACCGAAAAGAAGGCGCTAGTCCTTCCTGAAGTCACCCTTACTTTTTTCTTGAAAAGAACCAAAATTAAAAAAGCTTCAAGTGATCCCTTAAGTGACCTCTACTTTTAATCCGATAACTCAAAAAACTCCAAGTGATCCCTGAAGTGTTCATTGAAAAAAAATAGAAGCCTCAAGCCTAAGAAGTCCAATAGAAGGTTCTGGAGATTTTTGAGCGTCCATATCAACTTTTACGAGTATTTTTCCAAAAAGGAAAAATTCAAGAACTATTCAATTTTAGAGAACTCAACCGATCGAAGCCGCAGAATCTGTCAAAAGAAAATTGGAATCAGAGGACGCTAGAGGGAACACTAAAACTTCTCCGAGTACTACAGAGCAATGAATCAGAATCTACTCTAAAAAACAATAATCCAGTCTCAAAAAAATGAAAACAACTTCAGAAGGCCGCTGAACTCCGAAAAAGTCACAAAATGTGACCTCTAGACCAATAAGAAGCCGGATAAAAGGTTCAGAAACAGTCAAACATGGGATAGTGTCGGTGGAACCTGAAAGGGGGGCTGGCAAAAAAACCGTAAAAAAATGTTTAAAGTGTGCGCTATACGGCGCTGGTCGGATCTTATCAAAAATCGAACATTCATTTTTGTAAAGTTAAATTGATTGGCAGAAGCGATTTTTTATTTTAAGTTTAAAAATTTGGCTGTCGCCAGTCCTGATAAATCTCTAAAGAAAGGAATGCTCATCCCAAGTACGAAAACATTTTTGAGAAATTTTACAGATATTTATTCAAAAAAAGCTGAAAAAATACCCTTCAGGAGCGACGGTAAACTCGTGGCTGAACAGGTTGAAGCCGAGGCTGTAGCAGGTCATTTTCAACAGCCCATAATAATGTTCAGGGTTCAAAAAAAACGGGAGATAAAGGTCGTTTTCATAATGGGCGCGCGTCAATGAACGTTTTAATTACCTCGCCAGACATTCGAAAATTGTTGCGATAGTTTTTCTCGTCATTTTTTCATGACCTTTTCCATGTGATCTTGGATTCCAAGCTCTATTGAGGGAAGAGAAAAATTGGAATTTTGCCAGAAACTGCGTCTCTCGAAAAAAAAAACCGGGAAAACTGGAAAATCCGGTCATTTTCGAAAAATGGACAAAAATTCTAAGGTTAGCTTTTTATTTTTGCCTTCTCTGGAGCCTATACAAAAATTCAGCCGTCTTTACAAAGTCCAAAAAAACAAAAACCCAGTTCTCAAAAAAATTTTTTTCAAAAAAATTCTCTTAAAAAAAATCAAATGACCAATCTGAGGTTCGAAATAACCTGGAAAAACCAAATAAATTTAAAAAAATGTTGCAAAAGTGATCGGATCGTGGTAAAAAGCAGCCGTCTTTAGAAAAAAAGAAATTACGCTCCAAGGACAAAAATCAAGTTTCAAAGAAAAATTTCCAACATTTGTCGTAATAGAACAAATGACCAACTTTCCAAAAAAAATTCTTGGATAAATACAAAAAAATCTTAAAAGGGTGCCTAACGAAAAAAAGCTTTGAAAAAAAGTCAAACAGAAATTTAAAAAAATTATCTTTTTTTCAGACAAGAAAGATTTTAGTGAAATTCAGTCACTTTCAGGGTGACATGTGCGCTCCAAGGAAAAAAATCCAGATTTTAAAATATTTTCAAATCCAAATTTAAGAGACCAAATCACTTCCTTTAAATTTATTTAAGTTTTGGGAAACTAAAAACTTCAAAGAAAGCCCGCTTCATTGACAAAATTCAGGGCTTGAGATGATTTTCATATTTCGATGTAAGAAAAAAAAAAACGACAACCTGAAGAATAAAAAAAAGCTAGAAAAGCTACAAAAACCTTCAAAAAAAGTCAATTATCCAAAAAGAGCACAGATTTTCAGAACAGAACTTTTTTTCAATGTGACAACTGCCGAAAAAACCTAGCCTTTGGAAAAAGAAAAATTTTTTTTCCGTTTCAAGACTTCCATTTAACTGAAACTCTATGGAAAAAGGGTTCCATGGAGTCTCCTAGTAAATTTCAGCCCCCCTGAGAAGTCAATGTGCGCTCTATTGATAAAAATATAGCCCTCAAGAGGTTCCTCAAAACTTGAAGCAAGATATCAAATGACCAACTTCAATGCAGAAAAAAGTCCTGGGAAAATACGAAAATCTTCATAAAAATCTGCAAACTTGATCGGGTGGCTGTGAAATTCTCTGTGAGCTCCAAAGATTAAAATCCGGTTCTCAAAACATTTCACGACATTTCACGACAATTTACGTAAGAGGGCAAATGACCACCTTTTGAGTAAAATACACCTTAGAAAGCTCAAAACTTGATCAAACGTCAGAAAAAAGGCCTTGATTTTCTCACACGGAAGCTTTTTTTCTATGTGACAGCTACCAAAAATGAACAGTAACTTTTTAAAAACAAAAAAAAATCGTTTCAAGACTTCAAATGAAAAACGGCTTGATTTTTTCACACAGAAACTAGTAAATTTCAGCCGCCTTCAAAAGGGGAATGTGCGCTCTACTGATAAAAATATATTTCTCAAATGATTGGGCCTAAGAGGTCAAATAACCGCCTTTAGAGTAAAATAAACCGTAGAAAGCTTAAAAACTAAACGTCTGAAAAACGCCTCAATCTTCTCACATCGAACCATTTTTTCAATAGGACCACTACCACCAAAAAAAAACTGTAACCCTGTAAGATTGGAAAAACTTTTTTCAAGCCTTCAAATCATCAGAAAAAAGCATTGAGAGAGGGCTTCGTGTGGCTAGGAAATTCCAGCCGCCTTTAAAAGGGGAATGTGCGCTCTATTGATAAAAATGTAGTTCTCAGAAAATCTCACGAATTTTCACATTTGAAGGCAAAAAACATCATTTAGAAGGGATAACAATCTTTAGAAACCTTGAAAAGCTACAAAAACTTGGCCAAACGTCAGAAAATTTCAGCCGCCTTTAAAAGGTGATTGTTCGCTCTATTGATAAAAATATATTTCTCAACAAATTGGACGTAAGAGAGCAAATAACAACGTCCAGAAGTAAAAAAACACCTTGAAAAGCTACAAAAACTTGACCAAACGTCAGAAAATTTCAGCCGCCTATAAAATGGGAATGTGCGCCCTACTGATAATAATGTAGTTCTCAGAAAATTTCACGA